TGGCATCAGGTACTGTCACTGGAGCAGCATCGTCGGAACAACGGGTTCCGGCTGACGCCAGTTTATCGAGTAATGAGTACACCAGGAGAGTTACAAATATTGAAAACAGGACCGCTGACCATGAAGTTCTTCTCGTCGAGAACAATCGCACCATGGAGGAAGTTAGACGTGACCTGGGAAACATCAGAAGGCAACTTGACACCACCCAGGAGAGTACCAGAAGACATGATCGAAGGATTGAATCTATTGAGCACACGCTGGCACTTAGAAATGTAACCCTGGCTGATTTAGAGGAATACGTAAGACAACAAGAGTTCTCAAGCTACGATGGCCAGCTTTTGTGGAGGATTTCTGATTATGCACGTAAACGAAATGACGCAGTCACTGGACAGCAAGTCTCCTTCTATAGCCCGTGTTTCTTCACCAGCCGTTATGGCTACAAAATGTGCGCTCGTATCTATTTAAACGGCGATGGAATGGGAAGAGGAACGCACATCTCGATATTCTTTGTGGTAATGCGCGGTCAGTATGACGCATTGCTCCGCTGGCCATTCAGACAAAAGGTCACCTTCATGCTATTGGATCAGGATAACGTGGAACACGTGATTGACGCCTTCAGACCTGATCCGAACAGCTCATCCTTCCAGCGACCAAGAAGAGAGACAAACATCGCCAGTGGGTGTCCGATGTTCTGCTCGCTTGCTGAGCTGAATAATCATGCATATGTTCGGGACGACACCATGTTCCTAAAAATAATTGTTGATACCTCTGATTTGTAGTACAAATGTCTGCTAAACATAAGGATAAACGTGCTGGGGTTTTGACTCACCTTCTTCTTTCGATTCCATTCGCTCACGATACCTCGAACACGTACATTTTGCTCGCCATTCAGGGTAGAGGGATCATTCTCGTTATACGAAGGAAACAGATGTACTCCCTCTTGCAGTACAAATTGTGATCTTTGTACAGGTATCCCACAGAGCCTCCTTGCAGAAATCAGACGGCATCTAGTTGGTCAAGGATCACAAACAGATGACTGAGTTCTCCGTGGATCACCTCTGAATTGAAAGACCTTATGCATAATAGAGACATTAAAAATCAAAGCTAGCAAGGCAAATGATCCTAACGATTGGGCATTATTTAAGAAACAAAGAAATCTAGTCAATAAGCAAATACGCTCAGCTAAGCAAGCTTATTACCAAAATAGTTTTAATAAGCAAACCAGCGACTCCCGAAAGACCTGGCAGACTATAAACGAGCTAACTTCTCGAAAATCTGGGAAAACGCCAGTGGCGTCACTAAAAGTGAACGGATTAACGATAACTAATCCGTTGGAGCTATCAAACGAATTCAATAACCACTTTGCTAATATTGGTCCAAAACTTGCCAGTGAGATAAATTGTGATAGTGGTAGCTATCAAAGATATCTTACCGCAACAGATAAACGGTTTAAGCTCCAACCCACCAATCCAACTAAAGTATTTTCACTTTTAAATAAACTAGACAAGTCAAAGGCAACAGGCCTTGACAAAATATCTGCTAGGCTTATCAGGGAATGTGCTGATCTCATTTGTGTGCCGATATGTGATATTTT